GCGCCCGTAATTCCGGCTACTCGGAAGGCTGAGGCAGAAGGATCGCCAGAGCCCAGTGGGTTGAGGCTGCGGTGGCCGGGAGCGGCCACTGCACTCCAGTCTGGGCGACAGAGTGAGACTCCAACTCAAAAAATAAAATAAAATAAAATAAATAAATAAAAGTTATATACATGGCACTATGCCACAAACATTGACTTTGTTCTTACGTTTTCCACTCTTCCCTATGACTTAAGTGTTGTTTTGTGAACATGTAGTTTGTTGCTTCTCACAACTGTGTAGTACACCATAGTGTGCATCTACCACGTTTTATCCAGCCTTTTCCCTGGTGCTGGACACCGAGCCTGCCTCTGATTTTTACAACCACAGGTGGTGTACTGGTACGTACCGGGAACAGAATGTGTCTAACAGTACACCTTGTAGTTAAAAGCCTTCTGTTCTCCTGCAGTGACTTTTCCGTCTTTTTTTATTTGTCTGTTTCTTCTCTCTCTTGGGTAGAGGACAATATTCCCCAGAACTCATTCCTAGATTGTGAGGACATTCAACATTTCATTTTTTTGTGAGCAACTTCTCATTTGGTTAGTTCAACAACTTTCTGAGAGGCAGAGGTATTCATTAGTTTATTAAGTTAAAAAAGATGGTGGTGATTCCCAACTCTGGTTTTGCCTGAAGGTTGTGAAAGTGAAAAAAAATGACATTTAATACATTTTAATTAAAAAATAAATATACAGACCAGGCACGGTGACTGAAGCCTATAATCGCAACACTTTGGGAGGCCGAGGTGAGAAGATTGCCTGAGCCCAGGGGTTTGAGACCAGCCTGGGCAACTGGATGAAACCTTATCTCTACAAAAAATAAATTAAAAAAATTAGCCAGGCGTGGTAGCACACGCCTGTAGTTCTGGCTACTTGGAAAACTGAGGTGGAAAGTTCGCCTGAGCCCAGTGAGTTGATGCTGGGGTGGCCGTGAGCATGCCATTGCACTCCAGCTTGAGTGACAGAGAAAGATGCTGACTCAAAAAAAAAAAACCAAAAATAAAAATAATTATACACCATAAAAAGGCAAGGGACAGAGAAAGGAAAACTTGGCAAAGACCAATTCGAGTCGTTTCCAGAGTGAGAAATTGCTTATCTAAAGAATAAACAACACATTTGAAGCTTAGGACATTGAACTCTGAGACACAAAAGGCAAGGAATAAAATTTGGGTCATCAGGAAAGCCAAAATGTACACAGTTCTCCAGTACCAAGGAGGACTACTACGAATGGAAGTCAGAGGAAGACTCCCGCTGACTCGAAGAAAGCAAGCCAAAACTTGTGGAATCGATTTTTATTTCTGAATTATGCAGACTGGCTATGTAGATATATTGTGTTGTTACATATTTTTATAGTATTAATCCACATTTTTTATTTACCAAAACAAAGTCTAATAGATACTTTATTCTGAGCAATCCCATACATGATAGAAAACCTTTAAATATATAAAAGATTAATTTGTGCACATCTAAATGTTTCTAAGGAAGCAAACTACTGAGGCCTTGTAAGGAGACAAGAGTTGCAAACATAGTACCATCTCTGAATACTTAAAATTATATCTTAATAACAAAGGCTAGGATTAGTGACTTCCTCACATATCTCAGACTGTATCTTAGAGGGAAACCCCATGAAACATCGTATGGCTTCAACAGAAACTTTAGGTTTTCTTCCACACCCGCTATGGCCCTCAAACAAGCTTTCTCACTCCTCGACAGTATCTTCTGTGAGGATTTTTGTTCTTTCTCTTAATCAAGGAACTCTAAGAAAAGCAGTTGCTACTTTGAAAAAACAATGCTTCTGTCCCAGTGACCCCTTGGTTCTTAACTACAAATCTACAGGAAAAGTGCAAAACAGTTCCCAGAAGTGAGAACCAAAGCAAGAATGCTCAGAATGCAAGAGCTAGATAGTTAAATGATTTGAATGTTTACAACTGTCTACCTATCATCTGCTGAGGGATTATTTTTCAAGATTCGTCTAGGATTCTAGTTGCTTTGGTTGAATTTATATGGTAGCTTTTCTCTAGCACATGCAATTAAATTAAGTTGTCTCTTTCATATAATGAAATAGAAGATGCGTAAAAATCAGGGTGGTTTTGTAGCCCATAGGACAGCCCAAACAAAATCTTTGATTGGGGAGAGATGGTCACAGCTTCTGTGTAGGAAGATGAAGCTTCAAACAGTATACCACTTGAGCAGTCTTCCATAAAAAGGCCGAATGAGTTGAAATATCTATGAATGGTGAGATTGTTGCCGTGTCTGGTTGGCTATAACAAGAGCCCTCAATGAACAGCTCTGTGCTCTCAGGTTTGCACCGCTAAACTGAACACTGGATTCTTCATTATTTCCTGTGACAGGACCATGAAATTTATTTTTCACAATGAGATGCTAAGTAGTCAGTAGGTAAACAAACAAGAATACTGGGTAACTATTTATGTCAACAACATATTCTGGGAGAGGCATAATGTGGCAGTGGGTTGTGAGAGAGGGTGGGCTCTGCTGAACAAGGGGACGTTATGAGGAAGAACACCCAACAGAACACACAGTTCAACAAGATACGAAGTTGAAAGGACCAAGAGGAGAAAACGGATAACTATGGGGGCATAAGGAAGAAAAGAGGATTGACCCGTTTGTATGTGTGGGCACGTATGGAGGGACAGAGGGAGATAGACATGGAACAAACAAGGTCAGAGAAACGGAGTTACCTGTGCGAAGATGTCTGCTTCAAAGTGATTCAGGGCTCTTTAGAACCAGGGCCCTAAGTGTCCTGGACAGCTCTCCCTGATCAAGTTACCACCATGGTGAAACCCTTCTTTTCACTTCATTTTTACCTCTACTGGTCTAACTGTAACAGGAGACCCTGGAGACTAAGAGTGGTTCCTTGAGTGGGGCGAGGACTTCAGCCACACCTGTAAATAGCCAAAGAAGAGCTTCTAAGAGGGCTTCAGGTTGGGTCTTGTGATTCCAACTTGAGCCGTGCTTTTGTGGCTAGGGGTCCTTGGCTTTTCAACAGGCTAGGGGTCCTTGGCTTTTCAACAGGCTATGCGTTTTATTTAACTGCCTGTGGATGCCAAAAATCTCTTTTTGATAAAAATAAATGAGTTTTCAGCCTCATTTGCCTATTCTGTTAGAGAAACTATCTAAATACAAAGGTGGGGGGTGGGTGGGAAAGAATGAATTTGCCAGAGCAGGGGTTGGTAAGCTTTTTCTGTAAAGACAGCCAAGAGCCAGGCTCGGTGGCTCAGCCTGTAATCCCAGCACTTTGGGAGGCTGAGGTGAGTGGATTGCCTGAACCTGCAGGTTCGAGACCAGCCTGGGTAACTTGGCGAAACCTCATTTCTACAATAAATAAAAAAAAAAAAATTAGCCGAGTGTGATAGCATGCACCTGTAGTTCTGGCTACTTGGAAGGCTGAGGCGGAAGGATCGCCAGAGCCCAGCAGGTCGAGGCTGCAGTGGCGGGGAGCGTGCCACTGCACTCCAGTCTGGGCGACACAGTGAGACTCCAACTCAAAAAAAAAAAAAAAGAGCACATGAAGACTACAAAGGAACTATATTGGAAATGATAGTACATAGTTATTTAATTTTAAGCCTGTGATCAGATTAGAGTGTGTTAAAACAGATCACTTTTTACAATGCATGGGAGAAAGAAATTCATAGATTACTGAATGTTACTAAACAATTTTTGAGTGGGCCACCTTACACTTGAGTTCTTGGCACTTAAGATGTAACAACTTGGGCTAAGTTCATGGCCTGAAGCACAGAGAGCTACCAAATATGCAAGGCTGATTCTTCAGTTTCCCAATGTGGAGGTCATCAAAATTCATCGGAAAAATGATTTTTGAAAGAATGAGACCAATTTAAATAAAACATGAAGTTCAATTTGATATCCAAATAAAATTGATGTGAATTAGAAAGTCCGACTACCCTTTGAGAAGTTACAGAAGATTCATGTGAACAAGAAGAAAGTGGACACTTAGCTGATGATGGCTTTATACCTGTGTCTGGTTTATGGCTGTCCTAAGCAGGCTTAGCATTTTCAAGATGGAGTTATGTGGGGGCAACTTTCCTGGGGAGAGTTGAGCCCTGTGTACTTTAAACCTAACACAATCACCAAAGAGAAATCCAGCTAATCTATGGAAACAAATCCACTCACACTTAATAGTGCATTAAAGGTATCTTATTGGTAAACATCAGTCTAAGGGAAGAAATACCACTGCACCAAGTGTTACGAGATATTGAAATGCAAGGTCCTACTTTCTTGCTAAGGTTCAACTAAAATCTTTGAGGCACATAATTGGCAAAATAGGAAAATACACACAATTTCATAAAACATGTTAAGAGTAAACAAATTTCTTTTCTATGTTTCCACTTAGAAATTTAGAATGGCACCAGGTAGTGCAAATTGGAAAAAGGTAACATCAGCCTTGTCTCTTCCAGGTAGATATGTTTCAACAGAACCACAAAGCAGAAAAGCATCCTCTTCTTCCAGCGTGGCCAACTAGGGTTTTTCCTTCAGCTTCAAGTCAATACTGTGAGGAAAAAAAAAGGAAAAAAAAAAGAGAGAAAGAAACACAGGAAACAAAATGAGAAACATTTAGCAAAGATTTGGGTGGCATATGTTTTGCTTTTTTTCTCAAAGGACTTACTGAAAATAAATCATGCAAGTTTTTTATATAGAAAAATCTGGCAAAATACAATCTTCCCCTAGTTGCCAAACTTCTCTCTAAAATATGGAATCTGTTTATTTTTACAAAATTGTTTCTGGAAGCATTTTATACCTTTTAAAAATGATACAGAAAAGCAAAAAGACTTATGCTAAGGCTCATTTCTTTTTTTTTTTTTTTTGAGTTGGAGTCTTACTCTGCCCCCCAGACTGGAGTGCAGTGGCCGCTCCCAGCCACCGCAGCCTCGACCTGCTGGGCTCTGGCGATCCTTCCGCCCCAGCCTTCCAAATAGCCGGAATTACAGGCATGCGCTACCACGCCTGGCTGATTTTTTGATTTATTGTAGAGATTAGGTCTCGCTGCCCAGGCAGGTCTCGAACCCGCAGGCTCAAGCAATCCACTCACCTCGGCCTCCCAAAGGCGCGGGATTACTGGCTGAGCCACCGAGCCCGGCTTGGGCTCATTTCTAAAGTCAGTAAAAAGAAAGAATATTTCTGCATTTTGGAAATAATGCAATTTTATTTACCTCTAGTAAACGACCTTTCCTTGTGAAGCAAATAAATGATCTGCCAGAATTAAGCAATGCCTGACAAGTGCTAAATAATTAAGAAATGGCAAATAATAAAACAACAGCAAAAAGAAAAAAATGTCTCCCAATATTTTCCAAGAGCGGCTGTAATGAGATGGACCTTTATAACTAAAGAGAAGTTTGTTTTTAAGAATGTCTAGTGGGTTCCCAAATATCCAGGAAATAAGTCTAGCCGGGCTCGGTGGCTCAGCCTGTAATCCCGCACCTTTGGGAGGCTGAGGTGAGTGGATTGCCTGAGCCCACGGGTTTGAGACCCGCCGGGGCAACTTTCTCTACAATAAATAAAAAAATAGTCGGGCGTGGTAGCACGCGCCTGTAGTTACTTGGAAGGCTGAGGCGGAAGGATCGCCGGAGCCCAGCAGGTCGAGGCTGAGATGGCCGGGAGTGGCCATTGCACTCCAGTCGGGGTGACAGAGTGAGACTCCAACTCAAAAAAAAAAAAAAAAAAAGTCTAAAACTTGCTTGAATCACGTCTCTCTTCTGCCTCTTAGTGAATACAACACAACTTCATAGAACATCCACCTAAGAGGAAGAGAACTAAAAGCCATTAAACAGAGGAAGAATTTCAATCATGAAAAAAGTGAAACGATTGGTTTAAAAGGGGCAGCTTGGGAAGTATGGGTGGATTTCTCTTATCTCTGCCTGCCCCCAACCATAAGCCTATATGTTGCAAAGGTAACAGTGTTTTACTTGTGGAATTTGCAGTTGATCAGTGTTTGTTTTAGTAGCTTTGCAAGTAAAGCCATTGGTAACCCACACTGCCTGCCCATTCAGTTTATGGGAGTGAAGGATATTTCTTTCTTTTTTTTTGAGTCGGAGTCTCACTCTGTCACCCAGGCTGGAGTGCAGTGACCATGCTCACAGTCACCGCAGCTTCGACCTGCTGGACTCAGGTGATCCTTTGGCCTCAGCCTTCCAAGTAGCTGGAACTACAGGCGTGCGTGACCACGCCTGGCTAATTTTTTGATTTATTGTAGAGACGAGGTCTCGCCATGTTGCCCAGGCTGGTCTCCAACCCCTGGGTTCAGGCAATCCTCTTGCCTCCACCTCCCAAAGTGCTGGGATTACAGGTGTGAGCTACTGCGCCTGACAGAATCTTTCCTTTGAAATATCCTCAGCAATTCTATATCTTACTAGTTGTGGGGACTTGACCAAGTCACCTTCTCTAAGTTTCCATTTCTGTATCTGTAAAAAGAAATAATCATGCCTCTCTCACAGCTTGTCAAGGATTAAGTCTAAAGCATTTTCAACTGTACATAGTGAAAGTATGCGTTATTTTTCTTTTTTTCTTTATTTATTTTTTTGAGTTGGAGTCTCACTCTGTCGCCCAGACTGGAGTGCAGTGGCTGCTCCCTGCCACCGCAGCCTTGACCTGCTGGGCTCTGGCGATCCTTCCGCCTCAGCCTTCCAAGTAGCTGGAACTACAGGCGCGTGCTACCACACTTGGCTAATTTTTGATTTATTGTAGAGATGAGGTCTCGCCAAGTTGCCCAGGCGGGTCTCGAACCCATGGGCTCAGGCAATCCACTCACCTCAGCCTCCCAAAGTGCAGGATTATAGGCTGAGCCACTGAGCCCGGCTAAGTATGCGTTATTATTAGTAGTAGTAATAGTATCTCAGTGTTTTCTTTTGAAATGAGAAAATACCTCTTCTTAATTACTCTCCTTGCAATACTCTCTTCTCCTTTAAGAGGCCAAGACGTCATAATATTAATCTGTTTTTATGCCCTTTAGAATCTGACTTGTTTTCTTACCTGGTGAGTTTTACTTTAGAGGTATCCTCTTTTTATCGACTGTGACCCCTAGATCTTTTTCTTACATACCTTTACAAAACAGCTCATTTAAAAAACTTATTTTGCTTCTAAAATGTACTACCTGACTGCAGTTATTTCGAGAAGTCTGTTTTAAGTTTGATTTGGTGATTAGAATTTTATTTTTTCTCTCATGGTGCTGACTGAGTTTCTCTCACAGACCAAGAGAATATTTATCAAACCAAAATTTCAGGCACATTGTCTAAAAAAGTGTGAATGTGGGTCAGAATATTTGAGTCATCTTGTGAAGTATAAAGTGCATTTTCACTTTGTTCCAGCATCAGATGAAAATCTGAGCTAACACTTACTCCAAAATGCCCAACTTGAAGCACTTTATTTTTTGTACTGACTTTTTTGTAAACCATTCTAGGTTTTGTTTGTTTTTTGAGTTGGAGTCTCACTCTGTCGCCCAGGCTGGAGTGCAGTGGCACCTGCTGGGCTCCGGTGATCCTTCTGCCTCAGCCTTCCAAGTATCTGGAACTACAGGTGTGCGCTACCATGACTGGCTAATTTTTTTTATTTATTGTAGAGATGAGGTCTCACCAAGTCGCCCAGGCGGGTCTCAAACCCGCGGACTCAGGCAATTCACTCGGCCTCCCAAAGCGCAGGATTACAGGCTGAGCCACCGAGCCCGGCCCATCTAGGTTTTGATTTATCCTTTTGGAAACCAAAATGCTGAAAGACTGAAACCTGTTAACCCACCTTATGGACTAAGTAAGAGATAGTCAAAAGTGGACAACTTCCTTATAAGTAAATACAGGAAACCACTTGGAAGATTAATATTTGAGACAACAGTTAATTACCATGTAGAGTTAATGATGCTACTAACAATGCTGGCAATTTAATTTTCCCCCAAAAGAGCCACCCTTGGTCATTATACTTTTAAAAAATGTAAAGATATTAAAAGGTATGTTGCAAGTTTTAGAACATGAATTAATAAATAAAATCCAAACCTAAAAGTGAAGCAGACAAGTGTCCATTTTGAACAAAAAAATTTTACTTTTAATCAGAATTGAATAGTCTCCATATTTGGGCAGATGGACTTTGTTTTCTATAACCAGCTTTGTGGTGAGACAGAGTAACCTCTGATAGTTTTATGATAGGCCACTTTTGCATGTAGCATGTATTAAATAAGATTCCTCACGAACTGTCTGCCAATACTGATTAATGATGAATAAAAACGTTTGTAATTTTTTTTCAGTTGGAGTCTCACTCTGCCACCCAAGCTGGAGTGCAGTGGCACCTGCTGGGCTCAGGTGATCTTTCTGCCTCAGCCTTCCAAGTAGCTGGAACCACAGGTATGTGCCACCACGCCCGACTGATTTTTTTTTTTTTTTTAATTTATTGTAGAGACAAGGTCTCGCCATGTTGCTCAGGCTGGTCTGAACCTCTTAGCTCAGGTAATCCTCCTGCTTCTGCCTCCAAAGTGCTGGGATTATAGGCGTGAGCCACTGCACCCGGCACGTTTTTGCATTTTTTTTTTCTTATAAGAAGAAGGAAGAGATGGGCATAATCTTGCATTCTCTCTCTGAGGAAAGTGAGAGATCACTCAGTATCAGCAAACACTGCATTTTATTCTTAGCCTGATTGAGCCCCTTGGGAGAGCCTCCGGCCATTTTGCAATTTACCCATTCACTGCTAGCTACAGAAGGTATAAAATGCTTCCACACAGAACAAGAGAATGATTTCCTGTCTCTGATGGCATGTAGTGGACCGAAGCTGGAAGAAGGTCAGTGAAGCCCCTCATTCTAATACAAACCAAAAACCGCCAGAAATATAGGTCTGGAAGTCAGCAAAAAAAATAAAATTTCTTGGCTACTCTTTCCCCTCATCCTGGATCTCTTCCTCCTCCACATTGTGATCATGTGCCTGAGAGGGCTTAGGAAAGAGAGGGCTGAAGAAAGAGAAGCCTTGAGCAGAATGTGTTCTTCTAAAAAGTAGGAAGTCTCACTCACAGTTTGCAGTATCCCTCCCTCCCTCATGCCCGGCCTAGAATGAACCCGAACAGGAAGCAATGCACTCCCTCTTCCCAACCAAAACAGCCCGGCATATGAATGAGAAGCAAGACAGACAAGGCCGGAGAAGGAGTGGGTAAGCCCCAAGATGTAGCAGCGATAGGCCAGAGAGTGACTGGGGCTTCCAGATGTGCCCGCCACACCACCTGTTAGGCTCCGGCCCGTGTTCATGGTTCACGGAGTGCTGTTCTGCTGAGGGGAGAAATATTTGCAAAAAGAATTATGGTGGACTGGAGGACTGAGGTACTTTTGCTTTGCAGAATTTCATGTGGCAATTTGCTTGAAACAATTGTCGTCTTCATCTCAGAGAGATGGGTCAAGAGTGACCTTCAGAAAAATAGCTGTGTGATTTCAGAGTTCCTCTTACAGTCTTCATTCTTTGTGTACTTTGCAGTTGGGACTTTCCCTGGAGTTTTCATGCCTATATTGTCTTTAAGCTGGAAGGTCAACATGGCAACCTTAGATATACCGCACTGTGATTTTCAGCTTCTCTGTGGGCCTCAAGGGAAAGAAGTTTCAAAAAGAACAAAAGATTTGTAGCAGAGGCACATTTAAATCTGACCTTTGCCTCTGCTTCCCTATTCCTAGGAACTAGGATGATACTAAATTCTCTTCAACTTAAACTAAATTAGGAGTCTCTCACTCTAATAAGTTCTCTCTCTTGAGAGCATGTTGGTGACCACAGCTTATTCCCTGAAGCTGACCTGGACTCAATCTCTGTTCTTTTAGGCGAGTAGTTTCGTCTTTAGTTAGATCGGAGGTGGCACACCCATTCTAGCATCACGATCACCTCTTTCTGATTTAAAAAGCACTAGCTCAAGGTTCAAATCCCAGCTCTGGGCCATTTTTACAGTTGTTAAACACTGAACCGGTCAGATCATTTCTCTATGCCTCTCTGTCCTCAGCTATAAAATGTACCTCTTAAACTTATTCTGAGGATTAAAATCAGACACTGCGTGTGAAACTTTTTATAGAATCTGGTGCGTAGTAAAAACTCTCTATGTGTCAGATTTCAGTTTTTCACAGGATGGAAATCATCTGACTAGATCATTTCTACAGTCCCTTCCAGACTCAAATGCCTCCTGGACTTTGCAAAACAAGGGAATTCTCCCCCATCCACCAAAATATTAAGTTCAAATGGAAGCTCCAACTTTCACTAATTAAAATAGATGATGTAATTCAGAAAGCAGAGCTGCAGTCCCCTTGTCCAAATGTTCTTACATCTGGTCCTAATATTCATTTTCTCCTCATTTTGGGGGTTGGAAAAATGGAATGTCATGTAATGACTTGGTTGTTCTTAAGAAATTTAAGTGGTGATTGTGAACAAAACAGTATGAAGTTAGTAATTTTCTCTTTAAGTTTCTCATTTCAGGAATATAGCACATGAATACTGAACATCTAAATGAGGTTTACCCAATCCTCAGTGTGTTTTTTCTTTCTTCACCCAGCCACACAACACTACAAGTAACCATAAAGCTGTTATTGATGGTGAATTCTTACTCCTTCTCCATGGAAGACATTTCTGGATCATTGTAAAGGCAGCTAGTTCTGAGTGCAAGGAAAAAATAGGAAGCAGTCAACATTTTCTCCACTGTTACCGCTGTGTAAGCACAACAGGTTTGGGGCATTTGAAACTGTTGAATGTGGTCTCATTACTAACACTGAACAAATCTAACCTAGACAGATGATAATATGAAGCTGTGGCTCTTTTACTATCAGTTTTGAAATAAAAAACTGAGGGGGAACCCCCCCAAAACCTAGATTTTTATTTATAAAAAATTATGTATTTATTCTTACATGTATAAACTTCAGTCACTTTCAAAGTTCTCTCTGTTTGATACAATACACCTATCAAGATGCTTTTCCACTGCTTGAAACAGTTTTTGAACTCATGAATTCTGCTGCCTTTTAGTACTTCTGCCGTTTTTTGTTTTTTTTTTTTCATCTCGCTTCTGCCATTTTTTGTTTTTTATTTCATCTCATCCATATTAGCAAAACATTTCCCTTTGAGGATTTTTTTCATCGGGGAAATAAGAAAACGTTGTTCAGGGTGAGATCAGGTGAATAGGGAGAGTGGGTCATGAGGGTCATGCTATTTTTGGTAAAAAACTGCTAAACACGGTGTGGTGTGAGCAGGTGTGCTTGTAAATCACCCACATGAAATTGGCAAACGAAAGAATCTCCAAAAACAATTCACTGAAGCTGAACACAACCTCTCACAGCAACGCTAGCTGTTACACTGATGCTGATGTGTTCCTAAAACACTTATCTAGTGGGGGGAGGTCTGTACTACAAGGGGCCTGCCCTCCAAAATATAATTGTTTTCTTTTGGGAGGTGTCCTCCTTATATAGTGATTACCTATGACCTAGACACATAAAAGAAAGGCTAAAAATTCCAAGCACCCCCAGTGGTCTCCTCTGTTCTTGTCATTTTTTTCCCACTGACTTTTCAATCTACCTCACTCAGGGAACATAATATTATAAAATTTTATCTGTATTCCAAATAATAAAATACAAAATATTCACAAACTGTACATCTGACAAAGGACTAATATCCAGAATCTGCAAAGAACTCAAACAAATCAGCAGGGAAAAAGCAATTAAACCCATTAAAAAGTGGGCAAACGATATGAGCAGACATCCCCCAAAAGAACACGTACAAATGGCCAACAAGCATATGAAAAAATGTTCAATATCACTCATCATCAGGGAAATGCAGATTAAAACCACAATGAAATATCAATTTAGGCCGAGCTCGGTGGCTCAGCCTGTAATCCCAGCACTTTGGGAGGCCAAAGTGAGTGGATTGCCTGAGCCCACGGTTTTAAGACCTGCCCAGGCAACTTGGTGAGACCTCATCTCTACAATAAATAAAAAAAAAAAAATCAGCCGGGTGTGGTAGCGTGTGCCTATAATTCTGGCTACTCAGAAGGCCGAGGCAGAAGGATCGCCAGAGCCCAGTGGGTGGTAGGGTCTGTGGTGGCCAGGAGTGTGCCACTGCACTCCAGTCTGGGCGATGGAGCGAGACTCCAACTCAAAAAAAAAAAGAAGAGCTATCAACTTATACCAGTCAGAATGGCAATTATTAAAAGAATCAAAAAACAATAGATGCTGGAGCCTACCACCTTTTGCTGGTGGTCTGGTATTTTTATGGAGAATATTTGGCAACTCTAGCGAACAAGGACAGAGAAGAAGGAACACTTATACACTGTTGGAGGGAGTGTAAATTAGTACAACTTCTAACTGTTGCACAATTAGTAATCTCCATACAACCTCTAATTGTAGGGAGATTACTCAAAGAAGTGAAGCACTAAAAGTAAATCTACCATTTGACCCAGCAATCTCACTACTAGGTTTCTGCCCTAAGGGACAGAGTTTGTTATACAAAAAGAACACCAGTACCTGCATTTTCATCACATCATATTTCACAATTGCAAAGATGTGAAATTGACCTAAACGCCCATCAACCGATCAGTGAATAATGAAAATGTGATATATGTCCACCACGGAATACGACGCAGCCATAAAAGAGAATGAAATTATGTCCTTTGCAGCAACATGGATGGAGATGAACTGACTCAGAAACAGAAAACCAAACACTGCATGTTCTCACTCATATGTGAGAGCTAAAGAGTCACAAAGAGGGAAATAACAGATACTGGGGATACCAAAAAGGAGGGAGGGAGGAGGGGCGTTAGGGTTCAGAAACTATTTACAGGACACAATATTCACTATCTGGGGACTGGGCCACCTGAGACCCAATTCCCACCAGTACACAATATGTCCATGTAATGAATATGCTTGTGAACCCTCTGAATCTAAAATTATTATTATTATTTTTTGAGTTGAGTCTCACTCTGTCAACCAGGCTGGAGGGCGGTAGCATGTTCCCGGCCACCACGACTCCACCTGCTGGACTCCGGCGATCCTTCCACCTCAGCCTTCCAAGTAGCCAGAACTACAGGCACACGCCACCATGCCCGGCTAATGTTTGGATTTATTGTAGAGATGAGGTCTCGCCAAATTGTCCGGGCTGGTTTCAAACTTGCAGGCTCAGGCGATCCTCTCACCTTGGTCTCCCAAAGTGCTGGGATTACAGGCGTGAGCTACTGTGCACGGCCTGAATCTAAAATTAAAAAAGGGGGGGGGCTCTATGATCCTTTTTAAATGCAAGGGTTCCCTTTGTAATGTGAATTATTTCACAAGCTAATTTATCTGTTTGCACATAAGAGGTTCCCTGATGAAGTTTAGGTATTTGTTAAAACCATCATAAGGCTCTCGTTCTCCCCAGGCAGGACAGTAGCTACTTCCTACTGTATTTCCCACCCTTCTTGCTGGTGGTCTGGTATTTTTATGGAGAATATTTGGCAACTCTAGTGAACAAGGACAGTCAAGTAAGTGTTGACAGTATACTAGAAAAACCTAGCAAAGCCGGAATGGAATTAAGACAGGGCAAACTTCCAAACCCAGCTTTTCAGCTTTTTAACTCCAAGTAATCCTCCCAAAGAAAACAGCAATTTGCAAACTCTTTCATACTGTCACTCCAAAGGCAGCAGATGGATTCTTCCCCCATTTTCAAAATAAGAATAGTTCTATGCATACTATTTATCCTTCAGAAATATTTTCTTTCCTCCAGAGAGATAAGCTACAAAATACAAGGCAATCTGAGCAAATCACCTTCCTAAGTCATTTGGTGGTGTGTGTGTGTGGGGGGGTGATGCAATTTGAGTGGTGCTGCGTGTGTATATAAAAGGAAAGGAAGGATGTTGAAAAACACTTGTAGGGATGTGGGAATAAAGCAAAACAATAGACAGCCTAGCCTTTGTTCCCTGACCAGGTATATGAGGGGGGACCCAAAACAACAGAATTATCTTTTGGAGGACGGGCTCCTTGTAGTACAGGCTTCCCATACCAGGTCAGTGTTCTAGGAACCCACCGGAGTTATCAGCTAGTGTTGTTGTGAGAAGCTGCGTTAAGCTTTAGGGAATTTTTCTTGGAGGTTCTTTCAAGGCGTTTGCCCATTTCTTTTTTTTTGAGTTTGAGTTTGAGTCTCACTCTGTCACCCAGACTGGAGTGCAGGGGCCACTCCCAGCCACCGCAGCCTCGACCTGCTGGGCTCTGGCAATCCTTCCGTCTCAGCCTTCCGAGTAGCTGGAACTACAGGCACGTGCTACCACGCCCGGCTAATTTTTGATTTATTGTAGAGATGAGGTCTCGCCAAGTTGCCCAGGCGGGTCTCGAACCCGTGGGCTCAGGCAATCCACTCACCCGCCTCCCAAAATGCGGGGATTACAGGCTGAGCCGCTGAGCCCTGCCCGTTTGCCCATTTCATGATGGATGACATATGAGCACACCTGCCCGTGCTGTGCTGAGTGTTCAGCAGTTTTTGACCAAAAACATCGTAACCCCCATGCCCCACTCTCCCTATTCATCAGATCTTGCCCTGAGAAATTTTTTTTCTTTGTTTCCCTGGATGAAAAAAAAAACCTCAAAGGGAAACGTTTTACTGATGTGGAGGAGGTGAAACACAAAATGGCAACAGCACTTAGAAGGTATCAAAATTGACAAGTTCAGAAACGGTTTTGAGCAGTGGAAACAGTATCTCGATAGGTGTATTGCATCAAACAGGGAGTACTTTGAAGGTGACTGAAGTTTAAACATGTAAGAATAGATACCTATATATATATATATTTTTTT